AATTATCTGAGGATCAGATAATTAATTTGAGTATTAATTTGAATATCCCTAAGAACATAAAAGCAGATCTCAGTAATTTATAATTTACAAAAGTCATAAATCATCTGCATTGTTGTTTGAATATAACTACAATTGAATTTATATTATTTGACAAAACTTAAGGTGTCCAGTAGTAAATTGTCTGAAGTAAATATTCAACATTCTAAACTTGAATAGGGGTCCAACAATATTTTTCACACTGTGATGTAACCTTTATGTTTTCTATGTCCTGTTGTAGTACCTGTGCCAACAGTGCTGTAAACATCTGAACTTAGCTCCCTTCCGCTGTCAAACACAGAGTCACAAGTGATGCTGGGGACAGTGGGAGAAGTTGGACCATTGTCCTTGTCAGTACTCTTCAGCTTCCTCCTCATCTTCACCTGCACAAATAAAACATGTGTTTCTCTGACATTTAAATGACATAACTCCAAAACAAAGTTGACCTTGTGTCAAAAAATAAGCTATTTTGTCATGTTGCTTATGTATTGGTGACTGTTTTGACTCCTGGAACAAAATACTCCCCACAGTAGTAACATAAAAAAATAAAATTGAATAATATATATATAAAACATTTATAAATATAAATGTGTATATATGTGTATATATAAAACATTTTTTTGAAGATAAGTCACACCTCTGACTTTTACAGTATCACCTAAAGCAGTTGTAGCCCCCTACCTGTCTCTCTCAGCAGGACATCAATGAAACATGTGAAAATGCTTAATAGCTTAGTCTAATGACAGAAGCTGTAAGTAACACATTCACTGAGTACCCACCCAGGTGCCCCCAGGCAAAAAAAAAAGATTTGTAGAACCAAAGACTTTATGACCCTTCCAGATCTTCTTTTGACACATCAGAGAAATTTTAGTCACAAAGGAAGAAAAAGGAAGAAAAATCATCAGCATTTGGCTTATATGTAAGTATATAGTTGTGAATGTCAAATCATTTTGTAAGACAAAAGCAAAGTATCAAGGCATACATAGACAAGTTTAAGGTTATTGAATACATTGATATCAATAGTTTTCTTCACCTAAATATAAAAAACTATTTTGTATCTATTCATTATATCTCTATCTGACAATAAGAACTGCTTGATGAACTTAAATAATTAATTAAGACAAAAAGCAAAACCAGAACAATCCTATATGGAAACATGTTTTCTCTGTCTTTTTGAAACATTGCTCCCTTACGTGCACCTATCTCAAGAAAAAGAATTAAATGTCACAAGTCATCAGCATAATCCAGTATGACTTTTTTTTAATCCAAGCCACAAGAAATGGAATGTATGACACAGTTTGAAGAGTATCAAGGGATTTGAATTACTCAGTATTTTTATTCAAGCCCCTGAAGTCTATGTAATGTAGTTGGTGATGGTGCTCTACTTGCTGTCCTATTTCTTTATCTTATTTCACAGCATAGAAAATATTCATGAAGTAAAATAAAAAACATTCAGCAAAAAAATAAGAGATACACCTTCACACTTGAACTGGTCTTAATTTACAATCCACAACATTCAAGGGTTATTCCCTTCAAACTAGATTATTTGACTTTGTGTGTCTGAAATTATGGTCAGAAGTGAAGTGGAGTGAAATCCTTAAAATGATTACTAACCGATTTTTTCTGCTTCGGGCTGTATAGAGAGGAGGCAGGAATGTTGGATTTCTTTCTCAAAAACAGCTTGAGTGTAGCAGAATCAAAGTTATCCACTGCAAAACATCTCCACGATGTCTGTAGAGACATGGAAATAGAAATGTATTGGAATGATGGATACACTTCATCCTTGACCGTATTTTGAAAAAGACAGAAAAAGATGGAGGAAAGTTTGCTCTCAGTCATAAAAGTTGGGCTATGAGACCATTCTGTCCCCCAGGTTTTCTGAGGTTTCCTTTGAGGGTTTTTTTAAATACCTGTATGAGACAGGCTGCTGCAGGAATCTGTCTGTTGAAGTGTTTCTGTCTTTGCTTTTGTTGCACCTTCAGGGCAAAGCCAGAGCCTAAAATTCCCTGTGAACAACAACAAAGTGTTTTTTTTGTTGTTGTTTTGCTTATTAATTCCATTTTAATCCCACAAATATGAGCATGAATGTGGGCCAAAACTGAGAAAACATAAAATGTTTATTGGAAAAACATTTCATTTTCCTAGTCATGCAAACATTGAAACAAAAAAGAACACAGAACATGGATTTAAACACTTTTCTAACAGTCTTTTTTACCTTTTAGAGACTTGACAATGACTAAAATAATTACTGACAAAATCATTTCATTGATGTCATTTTATCTAAATTATTTTAAATAAAAAATAAATAAAACCATTGATCTCTTTGGAGTTTATATACTTAGTAATTTTTTAAAAAAATTACTGAGCATAAGATAGTTTTTACTGTAAAAAATAAAATAGTGTTTTTTGCTATTTTTTTGTAAAAACGGACTGTTGATATTAGAGCAACTATTCAGAACATATAATCATCCATATCAAACTTTCAAATCCACATGATATATTTTTAATCTAGATTCTTTTAAACTGGAGCTGTTTCATGCAATGTGTGACAACCGCATGAGTCATTTAATGTTCACATAAAGCTTGTAAAACTAAGACAGATTAAATGTAACAGCAAACAAAAATTGTAGTAGAACAAACTAAATGTTAGATCAGAACACAAAGCACAAAGCAGCCTTATAAAATAGCAACATGTGATACAGAAGACTGCCACTTCTGCTCTTGCTATTTGCTGTTTAACTAATTTAAAAAGCTTTATTGTACAGAATAAATGGCCATGATTCTCTATATATGAAGAAGAATTACAAAATGTGCATTATCTGTTTGTTCTTACTTGCAATATACTGAAGAAAATCTATTTTGTCTGCCTTGCTTTTTCCTTTTCAAAACCAAAGTACAAAATGCCCAACAAAACACAATAGACACACAAATACAAGTTACAAAGAAAACCTGCCCAATGACTGCTGGAGGTGGACACCAGCCCCACCCTGTGACTCTGCAAGGACAGGAATGTTTAGACGATGAATGGAGAGATTTAGAATTCTGACCGAATGTTGCCAAAAAAAAGATTTGTAGCCAACTAATCCACTCATACAATGAAATTTAAGGAAATCAGTAAAATTATGTGGAATAAGTTAATGAAAGTTATGGGGAGAAATTTGCGATGACGGAAATATGTTAAATAATTTTGGGAAAAGTCCTAAGATTCAGTGGGTCCTCTTTATACCACCAGATGATTAATTATTTTCCTCATTTTTTTTTTCCACTATAAGCAACTCAGATTTTTTTTTAAGTTTTTTTGTTATGTTCCTCCTCTTGAAACCAATTATGTCAAAGATGAGGTGAGAAGCAGATTTGACAGTAGATGTGCTCATGTAGGCTGCTGGCTAGACCCAAAAGCAGAGATGTACTGGTGATGGGTTGAAACAAGCCCGTAATTTGCTCTAGTAACAATCAGAGCATAAAAACGTGTATTCAGGTGTTGGTGTTGCAGAAGGGCCAGAGACACAATGCGGATCACCAGAGAGAATGAGGACAGTACTTTCAGTACTGTTGGAGATAGCAGACTGATGATGAGAGGGTATCAGAGCTCCTGACATGAAGAAATGATCCCTGTGAGTGGATCCTTCTATTTAAACCCGACCCCTGTGGTTATCTGATCATCACCTGACAAATTAAGAGTTTTTTTGTCTGTGTCTTTGAGACTGGTATCTTAATTGGAAATCCACACTTGTTTCATCTTCAGATTCTACACTGAAAAAAATAAGTCATTGGATGAACATAAAAAAATTATGGAAAGGATTTCCACCTGATTACTTTGCTTTATTTCAGCACCATGTACTTGTGTTACTCCTATTTAAAGCAAATGTTAGGTCAACCTAATTTATTAAGATTATTCCAATGTAAAGCAAATGTGTTGGCTCAACTTGTTACAATGGTGATTCAATGGGTGATTCTAAATCAAACATGTTGGCTCAACGTAATATATTGTGGTTATTCTTATATAAATTAAATGAGTTGGCAAAACATAATTCATTAAGGTTGTTCTAATTTAAACCAAATATGTTGGCTTAACCAGAATTATGGTAATGCAATGGATGATTATAAATCAAATGAGTTGGCTCTACTCCATTCATTAAGGTTATTCAAATTCAAATGAAATGTGTTGGCTCAACATATTTTTTAAAGGTTCCTTTAACTCAGTTACTATAGCGTGACCCAATGTAATGCAATACAGCCAGCCCAACTAATCTGCAATGTTTAGGACCAAATCATTGATGTAACTTCATTAAGATGAATGTAAATCTAGTTGAAACCACCTTATTTTACAGTGGTACCTTCACACTACCTGATTCAGTAGATCCAACTCACTAAAAGTAAGTTAGCTCAACAAATATGCTTCATGCTAAAAGACAGCTAGTTAATCGTGTGGAAATCCTTTCCATTATTTCATGACGTTAATTCAAAGACATATTTTCAAGTGTTAATGAAGCATTTTAAGATAGCACTAGGTGAAAGTGTAGGAAGAACACTCAACAATTAGAAAAGGTACAACACAATTGTATTTTCAGAATTGTTATACATCGTTTTTTTACACAGCACAAAACACAGCCGAGTTGGACATTGAAAAAAAAACAACTACAAAAAGGTTACAGTTTCATTTCCCAGCCAATTCTTTACAACATAAAACATGTCAGTATAGTTGTCAACTTAAGAGAACTGTAACAATATAAATATTTTCTACTGCAGACTTTAAACACTCATTTTCCATATGAAACTTTACTCAACTTAGCAGCGAGTTTCATATTGAGAACTTGTGCTTTCTTTGATAAGTTCTTTCCATCCAATTTTCATTATTATTTTCTGTATTACTTCAAGGTATGCTTGAATTACTGAGCAAGTTGAGTGCTGAACGCACTAAACTTGAGGGTAGCTCAAGTTTAGTGCGTAGATTAGTCCAGCAGCATCACTATTGCAGAAGATACACTGCCCAAGCTGTTCATAACTTCCACCTCCTCCAGGACAATCCCAACATCCAGATGTGCATCGGCACCCTCTGCTCAAATGACGATTCCGAGGACAGTCTCGGCTTTGGCCATTTCTGCACATTCATCAACGTCCTAAGGGAGTTAGGGAAGGGTATTGGGGGGGAAACAATTCACATGTAATTAAATAAATAAATTAAGACTGACATTGATTGAGTCACTCATGGACCTTAGTTGGTGAAAGTATTTTAACAACTCTTAGGAGTTCTATTGTAAACACAAAAACAATTTAACATACCATGTACTCCCTCACCAGCTTCTCTGGATCTTCATTTAGGTACACACAGACCTTTGAGGATGCACTCTCGTCTGACCTCAGCAGTGTCTTCCTAAATATGCAGATCAAAAAACAAAGAGAACAATCTCAAAACTCCAGCAGTATAGGTTCACACACTTGAAAACATAGCTACATTCAAAGGAAGTCACAACAAAAGTGATCAGTGGCTTGCAGTCTATTTGAAAGATATTTAAAATTGTTAGTATCCCTTCATTATGCCATGACTAAAATTGAGTTTAACATCTCATTTAAACATCTAACTGAAGCTGTTAGATGTTTAAATAAAGACATGAAATATCACCAAAGAAATATGTGAAAAGTACAGAATGGTCAACACAGTCTATATCCTTCTACTTAAATGAATATGCAAAGCATTCCATGTCTTACAAGTACATGGACAGTCTATGTGTGGGCATGGATAACGTCGCATATGCCGGTGTTTAAGTGTAAAATGTTTTAACAGGTCATATCTACGAGACAGAGAGAGACTACACTCCTTACATTTCCACATCCCCACGCAAATAAAGACAAATAAAACAGACTGGCCAAATAAATGTTTAGCTGAACCCTAGCTTTATAAGCTCTCTAACACTACATTCAGTAAACTTTAGATCTGGCAAAACTTACTATTAGCCACTGAAATCTATAACTTGATAGCCGATGAGCCCCTTGACCAGAACTTAAGCAGGTGGATTACAGACAGGTGATGTTCTGAAAGAGATCAGATATATTTTCAGCCATTAAAATATGCAATGCAGTTTTATCTTTTAGTACAAGTCCCTTGAATGCCTCATGAATATAACCACTGGACACATGCAAGCACATATGTGCAGAACAGTGGTGAATTGAACATGGTAGAAAGTAATAGTAACATAGGTCAAAATGAGCACATGCAATCAACACAAAAAACATCAACATTTCAAAATTAAACCAATGAACTTCAATATTGTTTCTGAGCTACAATTATTTGGGGACAACAAAGAAGAGTCCAAAAAACCCCAACATCTTTACAGCAGAGGAATATGTATTTTAAAGAAAAAAAATAGAAAGCTCAAGTCTGTAATAATGGATAATCCATTGAGAGTTTTAACCTGACAAAATATACTAGAAATCCATAACTAACAGGTATTTTAGGAACATTTAACAAAGCTCAGAAAGCAATGCTTTCTGCAGGTTTCACCGACTGAAATGTAGGACTTTTTATTACCATAATTAATTAAGAATCTCGATGATGATAGAAAGGTACCAAAGTGTGTGTGTGTGTATCTACATTTACCTCCATAGTAACATTACTGAAATAGAATTAAAATAGTTAGAAATAGACTGATGTTAGATCAGTGTGTTAAAAATCCACTAAACCTCCAGGGAGCTCAGGAGGAGCAAAACTGTGACATTTCTGGGGTCCATTTGTGTCTCTGGCAGCAGCTTTGTACACTACATATGGCTCTGCAGACTTTTTTCGCACAGAATGTACCTAACATGGTGCGGCGATAAATGTAAACAAAATGCTATCTGCCTTAACCTAACCGACTTAATCTACAGAACTTGAAATAATGTGACACAAGTATGGAACAAGTAGAAAATGGTGCAAATGGTAGAGAAATTTTAAGTAACATATTTTTATATGGATTTAGATGAAAATAGTTTGACTCTTACCTTCTTCAAATTAAGTAGATGCACGCCAGGAATCTCCCCTCTGCCCTTGAAAAAAACCCAACAAGGTGCAAGCCAGTTATCTCGCGTGATTTTCCGTAATCTCTTGATGTCGCTGGATCCTCTTCAGCGGGAGATGAGTCTGACACAATAGCGCTTTGGAACTGACGTCACTGTTTTTTTTTATTAGATTAACTTTGACAAATATTGATATTGAATAAAATAAAAAAAAAACCACACACACACATACACACACACACACACACACACACACACACACACACATATATATATATATATATATATATATATATATATATATATATATATATATATATATATATATATATATATATATATATATATATATATATATATATATATATATCTTGGCACAGCCAAGATACTGCGCAGGACCCTCAAGCTCCCAGGCCTCTGGTAGAGGCCTGGGGCTTGAGGAATTAGATGTATTCAAGTTGAGATAACGTCATTCAATCACGTTAGTCCAGTTGAGAGAAAAAACCGATTGTCTCGCGTGTTCTCGCGTGATATCCCGTGATCTCACTCGTTGTCGTCAGCACAATATCAGTCTAAATATAATGAATCATGTTAGCTCAACATGATTCAATTTTATAAATGTGAAGTCGTGGAATATCTTGTTTATCCAACATGATTTTATCACGTTTTCGCTTCAAACCCAACATTATTGTGTGAAAGGTACATGATATTTTTTTGTTAATGTAATACGCCCCGACGTTTTTTTTTTTTTGGCGGAAGATCTAGCTGACGTAATTGAATCACGTTATCTCACCTTGAATACATTTTATTCCATTTGCGAGAAAAAACCGATTGTCTCGCGTATTCTCGCGTGATATCCCGTGATTTCCCGTAATCTTGCGTGAACTTGCGTGATATCGCGTGATCTCACTCGTGGTCTTCAGCATAGGATAGGTCTGACTATAATGAATCATGTTCGCTCAACATGATTCAATTTTATAAACGTTGAAGTTGTGGATCTTGTTTATCTTGTTTATGCAACATGATTGTATCATGTTTTTGGCTCAACATGCAATTATTTAGTTAACAGTACAGATATTCTTTTGTTAATGTGATAACCCCTGAGGTTCCTTTTTTACAGTGTAGTTAAGGATGTCCAAGTACATTTCTCCATTGATTCTTCCTTTATTTGCATCTGGTTTGCCAGTACCATATACTGCAAGGCAGCGTAAACCATGACCAATAGCGGGTTACATCGATGCAAGCACTGAATTACTAACAGTAACTGCTTGTAAAGGAAGTTGGGATATATGTATTTTCCACTTGCTATGAGAGTAATATACTGTTATCAGGCTCCATGGTTTATTTGTGTTCTAAACACAATGATGGAAGGTTAAACTGTGATAGGTTTATGTTAACACATTCACTTAATTAGTTTGAATTCAAAGACAGTTATGCTAGTTTACATCAACTGCAACATACATGCCCATAAAATATGTCACTGTGTGTGATTAAATCAAGGGCAGTGGATTGAAGGTAAATGTTACCTGAGGAAATTGTGACAAAATATGATGTTACAGAATTATTTCTGGTTTAAGGAAAGCTAATGTTGATGTTTATGTCAGAATATGTCTACTGAGGTTATATATGCAGTAAATTACTGACCTATCAATTGGGCTGTATTGATAGTTAAATGGGCTGGTTTGTTCAATAAATAAGCTGAGAGAAATTGGATTAACACAGACTGTGTCTCCCGTGTGCTCATTTACATGCTGTTTTTCAGCTTCATCTGCTGCTGCCCGGTCCAGAACCCTGGTACCCGTTACACTTGCGAGAGCCATTCCTTCTACAAATATGGAGTGAAGAATTTAGGAAGACTACTTCCTTACAATATTTCACTGGCTTGACTATCCTTTGGAGTAAACTTTAATAAGCTTGAATATGCCTTTTATCCTTTTTTCAGCAGTATGGTCGAGTACAGTGAGTATATAAAGAACACTGGTTGAGGCCACTGCTTATTTATTTAAAGAGAAAACTGTACCCAATAATTCAATAATTCCCAGAGTAACAGTTTCCTGGCTCTTCATCAACTTCATCAATGATGTTGCTATGGGATTTTGTAATCCCCCCTGATTCTATTTGCTATTAGATGTGTCAGTCACCCAAATCAACCAATGGGCTGCAAATAATCTGCCCCATAGGTTTGGTTTTCCGACTCAATGCTGTTTAACCAGAGCACCCAGGACAGTGCTTTTCATTCTTATATTGTTTCAAAAACCTTTGCTAATAATTGCAAAAAATATTCATAGGAAGATATAAGTTGGGGGGGATGGGAGGGAATGTGTTCCCCCAACTTATTCTGACCACTTTATAGTAAGTGGTCAGAATCTGTATTGTGGATTTCTAGAAGTTCTGAGTTCCACCTGCATGCTTTTAAGGAAAAGCCACATTACATAATGTAATCCATTAGATTATTGTTTCATTTTTTCACTGTGTGAAAAATGTCATATGTGTTTGCTCTTACTCAGTAATACAAATGTTGATTTTTAGAGTATGCTGTGTGATATTACATTTGTTTTGACACCAGAACCAGTCAAATACACCTTGTACTTTCTGAGATATACATTATTAATTTTGGGGGAGTCATATTTGAGAACTCACCAAAAAAAGAGGCTTGGTAATCAATAAGAGCACTGGAACATTCAGAAATGTGTAAATAAATCTGTAAGGCACATGTAAGATATATGTGTTTGCTTTCACTAGCCATACCACACTGTGCAATACTTTGATAATAAAAAAAAAACTTTTTTCTTTAGTCAATATTAAATTATATGATTCTGATTTGCACATAGGAATGATTTCTAAATACTGACATATTTCTGTTAGTTTATTTGCCTTTGATAACTTTTTGCATATCATATTCATCATGTGTTTAATACTTAATGCATGTGTTATTAAAAACGTTTTACCCAAGTCTTAATTTGTGGAGTCATTTCCTCAATACTTTTTTAATGTGGCTAGCTGGAGTGTTCAGTAATTATTTCAGTCGCTGTACATGAACAGAAATTGTCCTTTAAATTTCTGGGATTTAGAAACATGGCTGTGCTATATAATTAATTTCTGGTCATAAGGGGTCAGCAACCAGTCAGTCACAAATGCCTGAGCTATTGATTATTTTCAACCTATTTAGCGTACCTGTTCAATATTAGTATAGTTCAATAAACCTTTGTTTATTTTGTACCAAATAAAAAAAGGAAATGTGTGTTTACATGCAATATCTCAAAAGCACAGGCTCCAATTTTCGACCATAAGTTCCCATAATGAATGTCAATAAACTTTTCCCTCAGGTAAATTTCTTCTGATCAGCGTTATAGAGAGCAAACAGAGAAATGTTTGGGAGCAAAGCTGGCTTGATTGACATGCCTGGGAGTCTATAATTTAGTGACTTATGAGTCACAGAGAGACAAAACACCTGTGAACTTCAGTCGCATGTAAATTATTTTGACTCATGGCTTTTATCTTGCTGTCATCTGTCGGTGGAATAGGCAATCCATCTATGACAGACAGTCACACTGTTGTTAGTTATGTTACCTGTGTTGTCTGTTGTACTCAATTGTCTTTTCTCCATAATTATGGCTTATGGTTTACAATAATTTAACTACCAAACTCTCACAATGAAGATGTCCATTATTTGCATTTTCACAAAACAACAAATCATACTGAGTGTATCCACTTACTGCAGGCAAAGCAAAAAAAGATATGGCAAACACAGAGAAGCAGGAAGCAATGGTCTTTCCAATCCACGTTTGTGGCACCTTGTCTCCGTAGCCAATTGTAGTCACAGTCACCTAAAATGGAAAAATAGAAGAAAAAAAAATGTTTATCCATTATAAGCACAAGAGATTTTTGTTTTAAAACCACTATTACAATCATGCAAGTAAATTTGTTGTAGTTCTGATGTGCCTGTTCTGCACAGGTGTTCAGTTGTGTGACAAACCATAACATGTGTCAAAGTGGTTCAGTTTTTCTTTTCCTCATGCCCCCTTACACATATTTCTGATGTACTATACAGATATTTATTTAATATCTGTATAGTCTATAGTAGGTCATAATTCTTTAATTGAAACATTTCAAGTTGCTCACTTGGGCTTGGAAATACGCAGAGGCCGGTAATGAATTCCAGAAATTGTCTGTCATTAAGATAGTTTTAGTCAGGCTCTCCCTGTCCATCATTTCCCAGATGATCCGTCCCGCTGAGTCTTTGTTAAAACATCTATTTAAGTTGAACGTAAGAAGCAATAGTTGGGTCTTATCTCCATTATAATGCTGTTGTTCTACTATTCAATAAAATATGTCACTATTTAGGCATTAAAGGAGCATTTACACATGTCATGAAGAGATTTTTTGTTTTTGACCTTTTCCATAACAATGTCTGTGAATTTAACTGGATTTATTACTTGTCTGTCAGCAGCTCTGTGAGGTTTATTCAGTATGCTGAATAAACTGCCTCTTGATATTTGGGATCTGTAACACAGTAATCTGCTGGGAAATACCCCTACCCGTCAGCCAATACAGTAGGTAACGATGCAGACTTTGGACAGGAGCCACTACTGCAGTCCAGCATTTTGCATGGGAAATTCGCCTGCTGCTCACATCTAAAATAAAATAATAATGGATAATATTGTGATAACTGCCAAAAACATAATCATAACCGACTTAAACGTAAATAATAATAGCATGCCAATCATGTAAAATGTCTTTTGAACAAGTAACATACTAACATGTCAATACAGCTGCAAGTGATAGCTGCATTATACAACTTTTGTAAAAAAAAAAAAAAGATATATTTCTTTTAGATATTTATTGAATTTGTCACTTTGTCATGACAGTAATCTGATATAACTGTCATGTAATCCGACTGTCATGTACTATTGCATTTTATTTAAAATGCATTAAAACACACGTTTTATTGCACTTTAAATCTAATTCACTTTGTTCCATTTAACATTGGCCAAATTATGACATCATGTGCAGTTTTTACATTAAAAGTTTTTGTTACACTTATGGTCACAACACATACCTCTTCATTAAAATCTTCAGGATGAGAAAAGGTTAGTTTCAGTATAGATATCTCATCATTGTAAAAGCACAACTTATTTGTCACTT